TTTGTCTGCTGCTACTTTTTCTAGCTAAATCTCAAGTGTTCTAACTTGCCTGTGGACTTCACTATGCGAGTCGCGACTACTTTTTCTGGAGTCGCACAAACACACAGTGTGGAGGGTCTATGGGGCCTTCTAGGTGCTGATCTAGATCTTAGATTCCAGACAGCACTGGGGTCTCCTGGCTTCTGCAACTGGTGATGAAGGTCAATACTGACCATTGGGAGAGCGTTTAGGAGTTCCAGGCCAAAGGGCAAACGGTAGATCTTTATACTGTTCTCATAAAGAGATAAAGCAACATGCTAGATATATGTTTATATAGCAAGTTCTATTTTTACTACTATATAGTTTATATCTCTATGCATTCATATTTCTACTAATACACTTCTCAGTGGTAATATGTAGAGACTTAGAATTTGTTAAATCCTTGAAACTGTGCATCATACACCATGATAACATGGTGTGTCCCCTCTCCAGTTGTGTCCCCTCTCCAGTCCTCCCCTCCCCTCTTTTAAGCTACTTCATGAATAAGATCTAGAAGTTTCATGGTTCACTTTTACTCTCTTTTCAGTAGGTAGCAGAGAAGATTGATTTGTTCTTTGTTTCTGAATTATGCCGCGCAACTAAAAATCTGTTAAACTCCCTTATCCTTTGTTCTCTTGACTGTTTTCTTTATAGTGTTTGACCAGAGTGATACTGTGAGTTCCAGAAGGTCTTTGTTGGAGTTTTTCCTCCTACTGTTTATCTGTGGTCAGTGTTTTCTGTTGAATATGTGAAGAACATTAAAGTCCTAAAACATCTAAGCACTTGTCAATGGATTTTTCTGCCTTTTTTAGACAAATGGTTCTTTTCTGAAGTTTATGATGGGAAAATTTGGGTCTAAAAATAGCATCTGATAGGGGTAATTTAGTTCAGCCAGAGTGTGAGACTTGAGTCTTGTGCAATCATTTTTAAAAACGATTTACCGCAGCGTGGTAGCTTTCCACTTGCTTTGGAATGGACGTTATCAGCAAACCACCTTCCAGCACAGCTCGTGGTGGACATTTCTGTGTACTCTGTCCCAGTCACCCCACAAGCATGCTGGCAGGGCAGATTCGAGCTGTTTTCCTGCTTCGTGTGATTGCATAATGAGGCCTCTGCTGGTTTCCTGTCCTAGCACTGCGTCCATTAGTTGGGTCCCCTGGTCAGGTCTCAGCCTCCCAGGTTTGGTTCGCTCCCCTGTAAAAGAAAGGTTGAAATAACTCCCCCACTTATCTCAGGGATGTTTAAGAGTTTAAAACAAGGGCTTGATGCAGGATGTGATTAAAATAACCACAGTAAATCTTAAAGATCAAAAGCCAGCCAGTCCACGGACTCCACCGACATGTCCACATAATAGTAGCGCTGAGAGTCTACCTCCTCTCCCTCCTCCTCTCATATGTGGTTGCAAACCCCTGCCTGTACCAGTCTCGTGTTTCTCCACTCTCCACCTATTTCCATTCCCATTGCCACGACCACCTCTGCTGAGTCAGTCCTCGGTGGCTTGTTTCAGCAGCCTCATCTCCACCCCACTCTGCTCCTCCTACCACGACCAGTGGGACTGGGACCTCCTTTGTGCTCCTTGTTGGTACATGAGAAAGCCCAGGGCTCTGCCCACAGTCACAGCTTTATAGCGTCTGGCCTGGCCTCGTGTGTCTTTCCTGTGTGTGTGGTTCTTGGAATGTGGCATGCGCTTGGCTACGCTCCAGCAGGAGCATGGAATTCCTGCCCCCACTGGGTAAGACCAGCCTTAAGACAACTGCCCGCCTCCTAAGCTTCATGTCTCCTCCACTGGGACAATGTTCCGTCTCATTGTTGTCACCAGGGTGACCCTTTATACCACCCCAACACCTCCCTTCTGTTCTTTACTGCACCCAGCAGCGTGGAAGGACCGTGGTTCTTGACCCCCAGCACTCGGCCTCCAGCCTCGCCCTTATGAGCTGCTCAATAATTGCTACTTGCTGAGCAAAGAGTCTTTGAGTGGGTTGTGGTCTTCCTGAGCATTGCCAGCTGAGCTTGGAGTAAAGGCAGAGACAATCTCCCACATACACGGACTTTTAAAAAATTTTCCAAAGCTTAGTATACATTCCAATTTCACTTTCTACTAAAATGGTCAAATATGATTCTGTGGTTGAATGGGGAAATTGAAAATCTTGGAGGTTTCCCAGAGTCATCCTTATAAATCGGAAAGGTTTTGGAAAATAGTCAACGGCAGCATGTGGACAAGGGGTAATCACTATTGTGGCCACATGGGGAGGTTCTGGAGCACAGATTGCTGGAAAATATTCATCAGAGTGAAAAACTTGAACTTCGCATGTGTCGAGAGAGAACTGACACAGTCTGCTGACTTATGTGCAGAAGTGCAAGGGACATAAGCATGCAGGCTTCCGGGCCGGCCAGCTGTGGGGCCAGAGCCGCTGGTCTATGCTGGAAGATAAAAGCGAGGTAGACAAGAAGTGTCTGGGGCCTTGCAGAGACTGTGCAAGGGGCTGCCTCTTGTTCCTTTGGATCCTCTAAATTGTATTCCTCCCCACACTGAATTTGAAGTTTTATTTTTCTCAAAATTCTTTACAACACATAATTGTGCTCATGCCATCCGAGTGAGAAAAAACAAATTTGTTCCCATGTTCCTTATGTCTACGTCCCCACAGCGCTTTGTCTCCAGTACTGCAATTCTGTTCTTTTTCTGCATGACATACAGAATTGTGTTCTGTCCCTAACTCCTCATTCCTCGGCTAGTCTCTGCTTATTGAAACAAATGATGTTGTCTCATCGTGACTTAGCCGATGTGGGAAGGGTTGGCAAGCTCTCGGGTGAACTTTGGGAGGTGATAAATAATTATTTCCTCCTCCCCTGTTTAGAGTTGAAGGAGCCGCCACTAAGACCCATAAAAATGGACAAGCCCCATTGATAGATTAGAGGTTGCCCGTTTCTGCCAGAGGCATTACCAGGTCTGGCCATGTATCACACCATGATTAACGTTTGTCGTATCATGTTCTTTGGAAGGGAAATAAAACGAGGAAGAATTTTCTCACATTTGATCAGAGTGAGCATAATTAGAAAGTGAAATGCTACTGGGTCTGCTAAGAAATCAATCACTTTAATTGGAAAGAATATTCCTTGCCTCTGTCGGTAATTGGGCTCTTGGTAATTTAAAATAGGAATCCCTGACAGTTTGTGATAAATTGGCTCCTTTTGGGCTAAAGATGGTAAGAAGTTCTAATTACCCCTGGATTATTCCAGAATGGATGAAAAGTCTTGATCAAAGAGATATTGGGAGAGAGAAAAAAGGTAGCAGTGAGCAAAGATTTATTGGATTTTTTTTTAAGAAGCTAAAGAATAAAGTAGTTCATTTGATGTGACAGAAACAAGAACTTACGCTATTCGAAATCCTAGAGATGTAAATTGGGTTTTCTAAGAAAATAGGGAACTGGGCATATTAGAGAAAGTTGACGTGCACAGAGGTTCTGTGGTTAGGTTATGCGGAGAGTAAAAATCCTAGAGATGTAAATTGGGTTTTCTAAGAAAATAGGGAACTGGGCATATTAGAGAAAGGTGACGTGCACAGAGGTTCTGTGGTTAGGTTATGCGGAGAGTAGCCCTGCTCACTCTTGCTGCACAGGAATATTGATCACCCTGGACCTTGCGTGGGGAAAAGTACGGAATTTTTACTTTGAGTATTTAAACATATAAGTAATCGGCACTAAGTTTAAGGAAGTCTAAAATGTTTTCTTCAAGTGAAAAAATAGGTGAACAGAAATATAGACAGGGCCCTGATTATTGAATTCACTGACCCCGTCTGTTACTAGCCTAAATTTTGTTTCTACACATATCACCTAAGCATACCTGAGGAATAGGTCGGAGTTTAGGTTAATGCACAGTGTTATTAATTTGTTTTGAATTGTGTGAATTTTTATATTTATATATGTAATATATATAAAAGTTGCTATAATTTAAAACTTACAGGAAATTTGCAAGGTTAGTACAAAGAACTCGTGTATAATTTACCCAGATTCACCAGTTATTAACGTTTACTTTCACTGGCTTTGGCATTTATTTTTTCCATATATATGGTTTTTTTTTTCCTGAACCATTTAAAGATAGGTTGGATAGTGTTTATTTCCTAAGAACAAGGACGTTGTTTTATATAACCCACAGTGATCTAAATCAGAAATTTAACATTGGTACATTTAACTAATCTAGAGTCTACATTCAAATTTTGCCAATGATCCCAGTAACATCCTTCGTGGCTATTTTTTTCTAGCCCAGTATCCAGTCCACAATCCTGCATTGCACTTAGTTGTCATGCCTCTCAGTCTAAATAAGAAATAGTTCTCCAGCCTCTTAACTCTTTATGTTACTGACAGTTTGTGAAGGGTGTAGGCCAGTTAGGTAGGATGTCCCTCTATTTCGGTTTGTCCAAATATGTTTACCCAAGATTGTTCCAGGTTGTGCATTTTTGGCAAGGATCCCACAGAAGTGCTATTGTGACCCCTGCATCCTAGCAAGAGGCCCCCGATGGTGGTTTGTTTAATCGGTGGTACTGCCTCTGGTGTCTTGGTTAAGGTGCTGTCTATGAGGTCCCTCCACTGTCAAGTTATTAGTTATCTTTTTTGTAGTTAATACATAGCATATGGGGAGATATTTTGAGACTCTGTAAATATGTTGATCTTCAAGTGAATCGCGTATACGTTTCATAAAAAGGATAAAACAAGTGGAATTATTTGAGGAAGAAGGTGAAATGATTCACTGCTTGTTTTACACCAGTATTTTTAGAACCTACCCGTCCTTCCCTCCCCAAAAAAATCCTAAAATATAAGCAAAAGTGTGCAAGTAAGTACATTGAGAAGTAAAAAACCAGTAGTTGGAGGCTATGTGAGGCACTTCCAAAAATTCATGGAAAATACAATTAGGAGATAATGCGAATCTTTCCATGAATTACTGGAAGTACCCTCATATATTCCAGGAGCCCTGACAGTAACAAACATATTTTGAGAATGTGAATAGTCTGGGCAAGTGGGCTTTTTGGTGAACCAGGAAAGGAGGAAACACATTTTCTGATCAGGATATAGGGAATTCAACTTGTAGATTTTTCCTTCCCTGTCCAGTCAGGCTTGTTTATCTTTCAGTATTTTTAGAGGTACAGCCCTTTGGCAACACATATGTTTAATCTAATAGCCAGATCATGAACCACACACCTGGTTATACTTTGAAAGATGTCATATAACAACCTAAAGTTAAAGTTGCCTCTGATGACTCTAGCTCAGCAGAATAGTCCCCAAGAGAGAAATAAAATCTTGGCTTACTTACATCTAGCCAGGTAAAAAGCTAAAGGCATCTTAAATGCCTGAGAAATGAACTTGAAGTTGAAATGTAGGAAAAGTATGAAGTTACAGGTCATTCTGGCTGGGGGTGGGAGATTATTTTATGTGGCAGAGTAAAAGGCAGCTAGAGGTGAATCATTCCTTTCGGCTCCCTTCCTCCAGTTTAAAACCATAGTTACTTAAGGTTCAAAGTCTGGGGCTGAAGCAGAAATCTTAAGGAGTTCTTGGGAAATGACAGGTGAGCAGGTTAACAACCTCAGGTAGCAAATACTCTGCTATACGATATATTGGAGGGAATACTTTTGAATTTCTGATGCATTTAGATCTAGGGCAATATTACACATTTTCTAGGGAAATAAGTTAAAATGAAGGCCCAACTGACTGTCACTTCCTCCATTAAGCCACCCCCAATTCTCCCAGCAGCACATTATTCAACAGGTAGGTATTCAGTGTCTTCCATG